CCTGCTGAAATCAGAATTGCATTTGCAAGAGTGGTTAGCTGAAATAGGCCTGGGTGGATAATCCAAATGCTTCACTTAACAACAGTTTATCAGGTCCAGAGAGTCTTTCTTAGTGGGATGGCTAAATTACAATTGGTACCTTTCAAATTAATACTATGGGGGAATGGGAACTATGCTTTTAGTTTAGAAAGTCTAAGTTCAATTTTACTTTTTTTCTATCAAAGAATGAAGTAGCATGTGCAGAAGATAACAAAACAAAATTTGTAAAGGAGAAATTAATGTATAAAAATTTGCCTAATAATGAATCTTTACATTAATAAAAATGTCATAAAGCAAGAATGATATCTTCGTCAGGAATGCAAACATAATCTGTAAAAAAACCCAAAACCACAACAACAAAAATCCAAGACCCAAGAAAGAAATCTGCATTGTATTTTAGTAACTTAGAAAAACAAAAGTAGTCTTAAATGGGTTGTGTTTTTCCTGTGAAAGACTGATATTTAAGCTGAGCCAAACCTGTTCATCTATATTTTGGGATTCAGACCATCCCAGTTTTGTAGGAGTGCATAATCTTTTTAGATTTGCTCATGTTTTAATAGAATGTAATCTCAGATGTAGCCTGAAATATTTGCAGAGAGCAACAAATTGAAACACAAAACAAGTGAAAGAAGGAGCATGACTGAGGAAACTCTCTTAGCTGAAACAAGAATTGGTACAGGTCTCAAAGTGGTATCAGATTAGAGCATAGAAAGCAAAAAAAATCAGCTATTTATATGTGACAAGAATGACAAAAAGCAGACAACAGTTACACAATTGGTCAAATGCACAAGGCACAGATTGACACCATGGTACTGTATGGATTTGGTGAAATCACATACTGTGCAGCACTTACTTTTCAGGGTGCATTTCTTCCAGAGAGATGTTGAATATGTGGGGATGCAAAGAAGTGCAGAAATATAAACAAAGTGACCAACAGAGAGACAGAAATAAGAAAATAACAGAGCTTGCATGCTGTAATCATGTTCAGTTGTCTGAGTGATAAGAGGTAAAAGAATTAGTCTGCTCATGAGTCCAAATCTTGGAATGAGAATTTTTGCAGTCAGAAGGTAGTAGGAGATGTTTCCTAGGTGTCAGTGAAACCAGTATTTCCTATAGTGCAAGCCTGTGATAATGAAGAGCTGTTGATAGATGCAAGTGGAAGACCACCAAATAGGAAAGTGAACATGGAGTAAGCTGAATCACAGTATTAGTAGAATAATTTCTTTCAGTGAAACTTGTTGAACAGAAATTTCCAAATAGAATAGTGGAAAGTGTATCACCCATTAATTTTAGGATGGGATTAGAAAAGGTTTTCAGAGCCTATGTGAGCAACTCCTTAATGGCAGCTAATGGATTGAGTAGATATATTATGCCTCCACATGTATGGAAATGTCTGTGAAATCTGGAATCCACATTTCTGTCCTAGTTATGATATTTTCCTTCTTGTTTAATTTTCTGATTTTATATAGTGTATACCTATGTTCAGAGCCGGTTTTATCGCTCGCCTGAAGTGATTCTTGGTCATCCTTATGCTATGGCTGTTGATATGTGGAGCTTGGGCTGTATCATGGCTGAGCTTTACACAGGCTACCCACTGTTTCCAGGGGAAAATGAAGTTGACCAACTTGCCTGCATTATGGAGGTAACTTTCAGGATTGACTTTTTAATTATATACTCATTTGATAAACTACACTACCAGTAACTACAAGAAATGTGAGGAGATGATGAAACGTATCTGCCTATGGGCTGGCCTTCTAAAGGGAGGTTTATTGCAACCAAAGGGCTCTTTGAAAGGATGGGGTCTAATGTAAAACTATTATTTCCATGTAATGTGCAAAACATTGCTTTGTAGACTCACTGTCTTGCTTCTGCAGGAAACATATTATAATCTGGTCAGAATTTGTATGGAGAAGTTAGAACAGAAGAAACATATCGAAGGGGAAGGAAAGGCAATCCAATTATAACAGGCTCATCTTCCCTTAGAAATCAAGTATGTGTTGGTTGAATTGGATCTCCTTAGTCCAAACTCCTGCTGAGAGAGAGACTTTGGCTAGCATTTAATTAGTCAGCTGTGTCTTTGTATAGCAAATCTTGAAAACCTCAAAGGCTTGAGTAGCAACTGTCTGGGTGACCTGCTCAACTGCTGCTTTACTTTACTGGTGAAAGATTTTTTACCTGTTAGTCACCCTGAACTTCTCAAGCCACAATGTGTGGATGTTAACCCTTCTTATATTGTCTGTCCCTACCAAGGAGTTTGGCTTTATCATCTTTGTAACTGTTCTTAAAGATTTTTAGGAATGTACTCTGACATTGCCTACCTTAGATCACCCAGCCAGTGCATATGTTAGAATAGGTGCAAAAATGACGCATTAAAGCAAGTTACTCCACAACAATCACCAAACTGCAACCTGATGTTGAACTCAGCCCCAAGTTCTGACCTTTCTAGTGCCATGTTAGTTTGTATAAGATTTTTCAAAGACAGTATCTCTCCTTGTGACCTTCTACATGTGTCATTAACAGAGATGCTTGTTCTTAGAGTCCTCTGCAATACTGAAGATCTCAGTGTCATCACTTATAATATCACATTCTTCTGTGTAAGAAATCTCTAAGGAATCCCTTAATTTCTTCCAGAATATTTCTTCCACAAATTTCCTCACTAGAGGAAATGGTCTGTTGACATTTCACAGTAAACTGCTACATTCAGCTTCTTTTCATATGGAGGAGGGTGAAATACCTCATCTCTCCTGACAGTTGTTATATATGTTTGTGAAATGAAGAGTAATTCCATGAATTCATTTTCTATGTTGAAGGTATTGGGTCTTCCACCAGCTGATTTTATCCAAGCTGCATCCAGAAAGCGAACATTCTTTGGTAACTGCTTCTGATTGTTTGTCCTTTCAGGATTCCTCCCTGCTAGTTAATCATTAGTTAGCAGCCCTGGTAGAGAGTAGGATCAGAGAACCTTAGTAGGTTCTTAGCTGAGAAAACTTCTTTCAGGAAGAGGTATTGAGAAGCAAATGCTTAGCATGAAGCTTATAAATGAACCTAGTACTGAGCTTTTCATGTGTTATGGGCCACTCAGTTGATAGGGTGGCATTGGGAAATCCATTACACTGTTACTCCTTAAAAATATTATTGCTAAAAGGAAGGCAGTGGGCTTGGGGAACTAATTTACCAAATTATTTTGGTTTTGGAAATTACAGAAAATGAAAAAAGACCCACAGTGCAGGATTCAGACTCCAGGATGTAACCAATATTGTTTGCCACAATGCTGGCAGACTATCAGTCCAACAGGGCGAAATCAGAGTCAGTGGGATCAACTTTTTTAAAGATTTGGTAAGGATTTTTAATGTGAATTTTTGAGCATGTCTTTATTTTTTTAAGATTCCAAAGGTTTTCCTAAATCCATAACTAACAGCAAGGGAAAAAAGAGATGCCCAGACTCCAAGGATCTAAGCACAGTGCTGAAAACCCATGATGCTGGTTTCTTGGACTTTCTGAAAGGATGCCTAATGTGAGTTCATAGTTTTGACTTATATGCAGCAGACTAGTTTTGACTTTGCTTTCATTCTCTTGTGCCTTTAAAATCTTTGTATCTGCTGGGGAATTTTGGTGGGGCTTTTTTTTGGGGTGGAGTTGGTTTTTTTGTTGATTTTTATTATTATGGTAGCATTTGGATAACTGCGATTATTCACAGCTTATTGCAGGAAGAAATCATTGCACAAAAAGACTATATGTGATGAGTCCAAGGTACAGAAGAAACATCATCATATCTAAAAGCAGGTCTTCATCTTCTGATGCTGGAGACTAGACTCTAAAAGCAATGTGTTTTACCCATTGCAGCCTTTGTGTGAAATCCTTCCTGCTTTATGTGAGATAAAGGTTCATTCAGATAACATAAATAATGGTAATGCACTGTCTCAAGGCAGTGCGTATCTGGAGACCAAAGTCTGGTTTTGTACTTAAAACTAACTCCTGTTCCAGTGGGAAGAAAGTCTTCCAGTTCCCTCCAGGAGGAGTTACATTGGGAGCTGACTTAGCTGTCTTGAATGTCTTTACTGTATTTTCCATGCTAGGCCTTGGCAATGGCAGTCAGGTGATATGCTGTGGTATAGGTATGAAAACAGTTCTGCTTCTTTGCGTATCTGCTCACAAAGATCTTGTCTCTGTGTGCATGTTCCCTAGGGTGAGATTAGACTCTTTTTAGTTCCAATACACCATACACCTCCCCCTTTGTAGAGGATGAAAAGGCAAAGTACATTCAGCCATGTCTCCACCCTAGAATCAATTGTATTGTTTGTTTGCTTCTTCTTGACTGTGGTAGTTAGCATGGGGCAAACTTAGAGCAGGTTGCTCAGGACCTGGTCTGGTTGGGTTCTCAGTGTCTTCAAAGAGGGAGATCCACAGTATTCTGAGGCAACCTATTCCAACAGTGAATCACACCGACGGTGAGAGCGTCAGTGGCTAAGTGTCTGTGTGTTTGTGTGGGGGAAGAAAGAGATGATATAGTGTCACCAGCATACCATCTGTTATCAGAGAGTAAATGGGACTTTTTAATAAATAAAGTATTGTGGGAGAAGCAAACTATTTCTGTTTCATGGCTCAAACATAATCATGTGAATTTTCCAAGGCAGTCAGGATACTAAGCATTTTACAGGGTGGGACTCTATGAACCCTGCTGATATGAGGTGTAATTTTACCAATATGTCTTTTTGCTTGGGAGATGGTTTTATTTATCCATCTAACTAAAAGACTGGGCATGCTGGAACAAACCTTTGTCTAGTTGACTTAAATATTGACCTCTTGCATAGATGCAGTAAGGCTTTTGGAGTGAGTTTTGATCCTAATTTATACTGTGTAACGGCAGCAGAAGCTGGTCCCATACCTTCATCCAGTGTTACCTGTATCTCACGCAAGGATAGTATTTTGTGTCTTCTTTAGCACTGACTGTAAGTTTCTTTCTAGCAGTTCACTAGTACTTTCCTAAAGAAAAGACAAATCAGAATGTAATAGTCTGCAACTGATACAGAGATTAGTAACAGAAATATTAGGATTCATATGAATGCAGTACACATGGAAGTGTGTGTGTTTTTAAGCACAGGGAAAAAAAAGCAGAACACGGATTGAAAGAATGGCGTGTATTTGTAACCCAGGGCAGTGCTCCCAGGACACTGCTCCCACCTGTAAAACTAGGGAGCATGTTGTTTGTCACAACCAGGAAGTCTGCACGCTGGTGAGATCACAGCACAGGTGAACAGCAGTGAAAAATCTCAAAGCTCACAGCAATTGCCTGGCAACAGAGTTGCAGAATCATCACATGTGCCATTCATTTGCCTGTTAGCCCGAAAAGAAAACAAACATATGTTCCAAAATACAAGGAAAACCAGACTATGAGTAGCTACCTTGCCTAATATTTATGGAGGATGAAGTCAGCAAGGTTCTGATGTGAAGGACCATGCCCAAACAGCAGGTGACTCCTAAGGGATATAAAAGATCTGTCTAAAGACTAGAACATCATCACCAATCAAAAATAACTCCAGGGATCTGATGAGTGCTCAGTAGCTGTCAAGTCTTTTCCTCTGTGTGACACACAAGTGGTCTTGGCCAGAACACTTAGGAGCATGTGGGTTTGAAAAATGAGTGAATGAAACCTGTGAGAGGATAAAGTCAATGTAGAGATTTTGCAAAAAAATACCCAAAACCTTTCATTTCCGTAATAAGATCTTACATGAGTTTTGTTATACTAAGTTGCTACAGTAGTTTCAGGTACAGTTAAATTAGAGAATATACGTATTTTAATGAATTACCCTGTGTCTCTTTTATGTTTCCTTTCTTGAAGCTTGCATTGACAGAATGTGAAAAGCCTGAAACAAATATTCAGTAGGGTCCCTACCCTGATAACACCATGAACTGCATATTAAAAATGGTTGGATGCTGCAGAGGGTTTGATCAGCAAAGCACGCAGTGCTGAAGTAAATAAAATTTTAGGATGGAGAAGATCACATAAGATTTTTCCTCGTTTTCAGTTATAATTATTTTCTTTCAAAAAACGTCCTCATTATATGACTTTCAGAAGACAATCCTGAATATTTTGGCTTAAGCTGACTTTCAGTTAGAGCTACTGTTAAATAACAATTTGTCTACTGTGGATTTAAGGTGGGAACCTGCCCTGCGGATGACTCCTGATGAAGCATTGAAGCATGCATGGATCCAGGAACCAAAAATATACAGAGGAAAACAGAAAATACAGACTTCAAGGAAGCTGAGTGATGGCTTTTTCTCTACACCAGACATGCAAAAAGAGAATATTCGTAAGCATGTGCTACCTGGAGAACTAAGTGCATTTGTATCAGTGTTTGGTATTTCCTTATATTTAATACTATCTGTCTGAAGTAAGGTGAGGTGATTATACACAGTGTGCAGATAATGAACGGTCACTGGAATGTGATGGATAGAGCCTCTATTTCTCACTTCAGTAGAAACCCATTCCTTACATTTTATAGCAGCTGCCAGCAAAAAAACTGGCATTACTAAATATTCAAATAATAAGATCTTTTCACTATTGACAGCAAAATAGTTATGGTACCAAACACCGCACCATAGTGCACTTCACTTGCAGAGCAAAAGAATGCATCAATGATGGTTGTAAGATCCCAGAGAAAATTTTCAACTGATTTTTTGTGAATTTGTGGAGATTGTGTGTTTATTTGCTTGCTAAGAGTCTTCAGTCTTACCCTGTCATTTTATTTATTTATTATTACAGAAAACATCTGGAAAGATATAGCTGATGAAGTGAAAAGTGAACTGGCTGAAAGACTGACTCCCACTGCGCCCTCCCCAGGCACAATGGAAAATGATGTACAGCAGACAAGAAAACATGTTATTCCAGAGAATTATTTGGAGACCCAAATGGAAAAGTCTGTAAAAAATGAACAAGCAGAACACATTGGTGAAACAGCTCTTCCAAAAAATTCTCTTTTTTTCCCACCAATTAAGTAATACACAGCATAAGTAATGATTGGTGCAGTTGCATACCTGGTATTTTGAAGGTAATATCTGTACTCAGGAATATAAGCTGTATCTGTCTGTACATGGGTTGTGCACATTGTACGTGTATTTAGCGTTCATTTTATCCTTAGTCTGGGCAACCAAAACAGAATTTGAAAACCATTCCTTTTCATCATCTACATCCTTGTTATGATCAGAGATCCTTCACAACCAGCAGCAATAAAATGGAGACTATAGAGGTGGACAGTAGCTTATTCTTGATGTTACAATAGACTTTCGAGTTTTAGTTTATACTAGAGGTAAAAAAACAAATGCATTGATTGAAGAATCTGAATCCTTTCACTTACATTCATGTAAATCAGGAATAATTCATGGATAGGATTACTGGATTTACTTCCATATAAAAAATACGAGAAATCAAACCCAACAACTTCACTTTTCTTCTTCTCTATCTCCCACTTTTTTATAGTGAAACATTAGATGGAAGCCATTGTCACAACTTCTTAGCACATTTAGAAATGTTAATTATGTTCTTTAGCTCTTTAGCAGCAAAAAAAAGAGTGATATTTTTGGGTCCACTCAGTATTCATTTCAAAGGGAAGGATGGATTAAAGCAAGCTGTTTTGATTCAGGGAAATTGTTCTAGACAGGACGTTTAACTTAACACTATGAAGAAAAATCAGATTTCTAGAACCCCTATGGTTTCTATGTTGAAATTAATTTAAACATTTAGCTTTTGGACAATAGACTGTCTTTTCATTGCATTTGTAAAGCATCCACCTCATTATGACTCCTACACTTTAATATGCCTTATAGATAGTGCCACAATATGAAAGGAAATAATGAGGAATATGTCTTACAAAATGCAGCTGCTACTGTAGCAGTGATATTGCAGTAGTCCCAAGAGAAGTAGGTGTTTGTAGGTGTTATGAGTCACCATAACAGCAAACTCCCGCAGGCTCTTTGTGCAAAAGGAAAACCCAAAGGATATGAAAATGGTCCTAACTCGGTTCTGATATAACTGCGAGTAAACAAGCCATCTGACAGCATACAGAGGTGACTGCATGACAAAAGGCCCATAGCAGGTGTGCTCTTCTACTGAATAGAAAGTTAATGGTAAAAGTCACCTCAGAGAAAATCGACTGCACAATGGAGCATGACCATTCTTTTGGCTTCAGGCAAATCCTGGGACTTGTGAAGAAACACCTGGAAGATGAGAGACCCAAGCAGGGCAATAGCCCATTATTGAGTGTAATTGAGCAGTGAATTACAAGGGTATTTTGGCAGACAAATATAATCCTGCTGTGATGCAGACATTACTGACAAGCAGACCAGCTTCCTGTACCAGAATTGTCTGTTTCTCTGGCTTCAGAGAGACTCCTTTGCAGCCGAACCCTCCGACAGACTGTAATAAGCTCCCATTCATCACCAGACTGACGTATTGGGAAAAGTGAGTTCTGCTATGCACCGTGTTTTGGTGATTGCACAGAATACCCAGGGTGGTTGAGCATCTTGTAGAATGCAGGCAGAGCTCTCATCACATTTCTCAGAGCAGCTCCACCCCTGGTGGAAGCCGAATGAAGGAGTTAGACTCACCATCGTTTTTAGGGAATATTCAGATAGGTTTTTGCAGATATTTGGAAAATATTTTGGCCATTTGTTCGCAAGTAACATAGAAAATAAGAAGCAAAATGTCTGTTTAAGAGTTCAATGTGGACTAAGAATAGCAAGAGTACTTGTCCTGATACCTCTTAATACAAAAGGTCAGATCCTTATACCCTTGGAACTATAATCTGTAATGTTTTTATTCAGTTGCTGCTCATTCTTCATCTTTGTTGTGGTTCACTTGACTGCTTAGGCTGCTTCAAGTTAAAATATCTGTCTTCTCATAGTTGTGCACTTCTGTATTTGTCTGCTTTACCTCATAGGGAAAATTTGGGATCAATTATACCAAGCTGCTCTTGTTAGTATTGCTTAGTCTTAATGAAGCTGTAAACTTCATTTAATGTATGGGGTCATGTGCTGGGGCTGCATTTTCTTCACAATTAATACATTTCAATAGCTTCTTGTAGTAAGCAGCAACATATTACTTTTCATGGCGTATGCTGATGGGTTTTTCAAAGCATTAATAGAGCTGAGGGAAAAGTAACAAAGCCATGTGAGACTGCAACTCAGTTTGCTTATCCTTCTATTCACAGAAAGCAGGTGGACGACATTTCCCTGTAGCTAGCTGTCTGCTGTGTATTTTGTGTCTCCCCTTCCTTGCTGACCTGCTTTTCTTTTTTAACTCCATCAGCCTCCACAGTGATTCCATCTTCAAAAATCTTTCCTAATAAGGGCTCTTTTACATAAATGTTGGATTTTTTTTTTAGAAATGACAGAAATAAATAGACATGAGTTGGCAGAAAGATCTAGCCTCAGATATTGCCACTGTTTTTGCCTTCCTTTGCAGAAACAAGCAGACCCAATAGATAGAGATAGCTTCCTCTTCTCTGTGCTGTTAGAGGGCAGCTTTGAAAATGTTGAGAAGATTCCTCTGACTCCTGTTCTGCTTCAGCCACCTGCAGACTGGGAATGGTGCAGACTCATAGAGAAAAGAAACACTACGTTATCAAGTTACTTAACTGAAAAGCCCAAACCATGCATCATGTTTTGTTTCTGCATTATATAGTGCCATTTTTAACTACATTTACCAAGAAAACAAGGTGGCTGTTTTCTTGCCTGTCTCCAATTGTAGTCCTCTCTTCCTGAGCTCTTCAACTTACTAACAGATATTAGCTGAGGTTTTTTTAGTGTTCTCAGAAGTATTTTACTTCTTTATGCTACAGTTGACAGTGGAGTGAGACCCTATTAGTCTTACCAGTAGGGGAAAGGCAGGAGAATGTTGTTATGGTCAGTTCTGCTGGCTCACTGAGCAGCATGAGAGAGCTGACTGCCAGGGAGAACATGCGTGATTCTGCATCCTTGACCAGGAGCTGGGCAAAATAAAAGCCATTAGGGAATGTGGGACATAGAAAGAGCTGGGGATTTTACAGCAGAGATAACTGATTTGGAGTGTAAAGCTAGAAGGAATATCATGGTTTGGGGAAGTTCTGGGAAATCGGAACCAGTACTGTTGCAAAAATGGATATTTACAGGATGTAAGACACAAATCTTTAGGACATCAAACTGTGAGAACATGAAGACTCAGTGAAACTAGCTGTTATACCTTTTCTGTCTCTGAAACCTCATTAAGAATCATATAATCACAGTATAGTTTGGGTTGGAAGGGACCTTAAAGATCATCCAGTCCAACCCCCCTGCCATGGGCAGGGACACCTCCCACAAGACCAAAGCCCTGTCCAACCTGGCCTTGAACACTTCCAGGGAGGGGGCATCCACAACCTCTCTGGGCAACCTGTTCTAGTGTCTCATCACCCTCACGATCAAGAATTTCTTCCTGATATCTAATCTAAATCTACTCTCTCTCAGTTTGAAAGCATTACCTGCTCATCCTATCACTACATGCCGTTGCTGTAAGTCAAATGCACAGTCACTGCCAGAGCCCAGACCGGATTGTGGGGATCCTAACAGTCACGCCATGCTCTTCCTTGTACTGGATTCTGAATATTTTTTTCAGGGTCAATGAAGATATCATCTGCAACCACCTTGAAACACCACAATCCAGCAGAGTGTATGCCCATCTAAACCTTGGGAAACCAGTGTGTTCATGCGAATGCTGTGGGGAACAGTATCAAAGTGTTCCAATGCTATCCAGTGTCACTACAGGCTGCTTATATTCAAGTTTGAATGCATTGCTAATGGCTTTTCTTTAACATCACCCCTCCTATAGAAAAGTAATAAGTCCACAAAATACATCTCATCATAGAAAAATGTGTGACGCTGGTGAAGTCTCTGTCTTGAATGTTGTATCTTAACCTGGGAGCAGAGTGCTTCAAGGTTATACCCCAACCCATAGAACAAAAAGAACCAAAAGCACCCTATGTTATATGTGTAGAGTTGAGCTATGAGAGTACAGCAGTAAGTCTGTACTACGCTGAAAAAGAGAGTGAGTTTAGCAATTGCTTTACTGAATCAATGCAGCTAAGAGTATCTCAGAACAAAGTACAAGAAACCTAAAGCAGAGATTTATCAGCTTGCTTCCTACTGCCATTGTTTTGTGTTGTTTTGATTTCACAATGCACGATGCACACATGACACATAATGACTTCTGTAACATCTGTATGAATAAGCAAGGATCTTCTACCTTAGGTCAAGGTGCTAACCAGGAGTACAAATTATTTGTAGTGCTGGCTTTTATCTATGTATTAAACGTTTGCTATCTATTTATGAGACAAAAAGTTAATATTTGTCAGGCTGGACAAATTAAAATAATTTTAGTTTTTCAGTTTGCAGAGAGACTTAGTAGAGAAATTGAGAGATTTGTCACATTATTTCCAGAATTTTTTGTTTACTTTTTTTTTAAAGCAGAATGGTCAGAATAAAATAATTGGTAGGCACAATGCACTGAAGAATTACATTGATTTGTGATAGGGAAATCCAGGAAGATCAAATCTCTTAGAAT